AATGCTCGAGCGGGGCGGGCGCCCTGCCCGGCCCGGTGGACGCCTGCACGCGGCCCGATAGGGTTAGGGTGGTGCAGCAGTAACCGCCCAGGGGACACAAAGGCAGCCCCGGCGACCCCGACAACCGCTGGATAGCCCCGAACGGCCGGCTATTCTCTGATCAGAACAACAGGAGACAAGGCCAGTCCTGCTAACCGGTCGTGAGGTCACGATGGAGACAGCCAGCCATCGAGCCCATCCTGAGGACACCAGAGGACACAGCGCGACCGGTGCCGAGGACTCCGATTGTCCTACTGACCATTCCCAGTGACATGAGGGCCGATCCCGGGAAAACCAGAGGACAGGGGGCCCCCACCGACCTGTCGTGAGGACACCGTGAGACAGAGTGGCAGCTCGTCTGACCGGTCTCGCCATGCGGTCGGTGCCCCCGTCTGCGAGCCCGGAAGCAGTCCGGTACCCTCTGCAGGGGGTTGGCGGCCGGCCGCTCCCCCGTCCAGACTCCGCGGTCAGTCACTCCGCTACCGGTATCCCTTCGTCCCAGCCCTGCGGTCAATCTCTCCCCCGTCCAACACCCCGCGGTCAGCCACTCCCCTGTCCCCCGTCTCCCCGGTCAGCCGCTATCCCCGTCCCAGTCCCCCTGAAGCGGGGCGCTACCCCCGTCCCCCGGTCAGCCGATGCCTCCGTCCCCGACCAGGCCCCGCAGCCAGCCGTTACCCCTGTCCCCGGGTCAGCCACTACCCCATCCCAGGCCTCCGAAGAAGGCGGCGGTACCCCCGTCCTCGGCCCGTGCTCAGCCGCTACCTACCCCCTCCAGGCCCTGCGGTAGCCGCTCCCCGTCCCCCGGTCACTGACCGTCGCTGATGACGTTCACGGTGGTCTTGGGCGGCACCCAGAGCGGCTGCCACGTGATGCGCGTCTCGTTCCACGGGATTGTCTGCGGCCAGGTGAGCTGGCACGTCATGGTGCCTGTCCGTGTGCCGCGGGGGCGCGCCGCTCCGACACTTCACCGGTCCACCCCGTCTGAGCGACTGAGACGCTCCCCACCCGTCGGCCGGCGGGCGCTCACTGAAAATCGCCCGGTGCGGCGGGCCGGGCTGGTGCCGACGCGCCGCCCGCCACCTACCGGCCCCACGGCGGCGCCGCGACAGCGCGGCGGCTCGTCACGACGAGCAGCGGCTGCCGGCAGCGGCGCCCGCCCGCTCGACAGCGACGCACTTCGATCGCGGCACCGGGCAGCGGCGGCGGGTCCGTGCGACTGCAACCTCACGGTGAAGTGCTGGCATGGCGGTGCGCCGGCCGCCGCCGGCCGCGAATCGATAGGTAAACAGCGTCCGACGGCCGCTGGACACCGTCCGGAAATTGCCGACGCTGGCCGCACAGGGCCGGTGCATGTAGGCCGGCCCGTCCCCCTCCGGCATTTTACAAGGGACTGACCTTAGTGGGCGCAGCTCAGCTCCCGGCTCACATTTGATTGCAATGGGCGGGAGGTGATGCGGAATAATGCAATGCTGCGGGCGACTATCAACAATAATTAGAGTTGAAAGGCGGTCCCCGCACGGAGTTGGCAAATTGTGACAAAAGGTCGGTTCAGCCAGCCGGCTAAAGGAATTCAAATCAAATGGCGAAAAGTTAGGTGGATAAAATTCAAAATGAGCGGCAAGGTCCTGATCGAAGCCCCTACGGACCTTTCCAGTTTAAGTCAAAGTCCAGTTTAAGTAAAACAAAGCCCAGTGTTTTACATGGGCTCACTTTACAGGCTAGAATAGAACCAACGCCACACACAGGTCGTTACGCAAGTCTAGACTTCTATCGTTCGATCGGGGAATTCCGGGCACAGGACATCATTTTGGGTGAAACGTTTAGCGTGTCCACAAAGGACAAGGTTCGCCAGGCTTGGTTTCATCTCACTACGACTGCCCTCAGGCGAACCCCGATATAGGGCTAGATATCGGGCGCCGAACCGACTCTAACCCGAGACTCTCACCGCCAGAGGGATACATTTTCACTGAGCTCCTGGGACTAGATAATAAGAAATTGAGCGTTTACTCTTTTCACTTTTTTCGCCCCAAGCATGTCACACACATTCGGAAGTAAGGTGTACGAAAGTATCGGTGACAAAAAGTGTATCACGCCCTTCGTCGTCGAGAGTGATGGACATGGCGATGTGACAAATCACTGCATTCAAAGATATACATGATACTAGGTTAACGAGCAGGAAAAAGATAAGGCAAAGAACTGGACCGATGAGTCCAGGCTGACAAAACTCATTAATTGTCCAACAAAGTGCCAGCGGATTACTATTGATACCAAAACTAAAAACATACGTAACGCCATAATCAGCGCAAAATGAATGCACATCAAAATGCAAGAAATCGCATTAATTTGCGAGTCATCGGATCGGTACCTACGTAATGAATCAACACTAACCACAATTCGGAGTTCAGACACATATGGTTTTCACCATAGCCTTGCGATGAGGTAAAGCTAACCAAATATGTGAGACACAAAATATTCGGTGTTTGAGTTACCATCAGACGAAACAGTCGTGAGTCGACCTACCCTAGGTTCGACTCCAAACGATTTCATACATAAATTCAACAGCTTGTGACACACGATTTCCTTTCACAGATACTGTCCGACAGAACCTGGGGCACTTTATGGGCGTTTCTCGGAAAACTTTCGAGGTTTGGCTAAATATGAGCATCTATAACGCTACATCCGGGTAGAAACTATTGACGCCGAAGAGTTCGTAACCCTGGATTCCTCGACAAATCATTTGACCGAGTTCTGCACACTTTTCAGGTGTTTTTTTTTTAAATAAGTGAGCATCTTGCAGTGCAGTGCAGTGCGCATTGCACAATTGCAAGGACATGAGGTTGAATTTGACACCAACCGACCATTGTGTCTAGATCAACGTGAAATAACAGCCCCAAATGCATAATATGATCACAGACACGATATGCAATAAGAATCGCATAAGTTTTTCCTTATTATTCGTCACTATAATTTACCCACCCCGTAGGATAATTAATTTCTTTTCTAGATAAATCAGGACGATTGGCAGAAACGTAGGGTGCCTCCTCATATATAATGATTCATCGCTACGGGCTACGTCAGAACAACTCACTTCGGTTTATACCACCTTTCGGCCTTCGATTCCTTGGAATGTTCGAGAACTATTATTCCCATCGCGGATTTTAAGGCTATCAATGCCTCCGTGCTCGTAGGAATTCTAAACGACAATAGACCACGGCCCAGACACCAGCAGTAAGGTATCAAGGTGGAGACATTGGATGAGCTGGGAACTCGGTATTGCTTGCTCCTCACTCACAACCTCGCTGAGCAGTTTCGTATCTAGCCTACATTCCCAGTCGCCAATGCTAGGCAAAATGCCAGAAAGGGGCGTGGGCTTCAAGTTCAATATAGTCGCCCCTCCCCACAACACACATCGACACAAGCCTCAAGATGCCTCTCCCCCATTCACCTTCTCGATTTAGTTCGCCTTCGATTCAACTTCGCCCAGCTACCAGCACAATGGGCATTGAGGAATGAGACCGAGCCGGCTGACCTTGGCTGGTTTGTTCAGCGGGGCGGTGCTCATCTGTTTTAATGCTGTCGAGTATTGTTGCCGGTCACCGCCTTGAACGACGACAAACTTGTCTGTATGGCTGGCACAGCGCCAACTTGTAGCGGAACTCTGCATTGTGCACGCTGCCCGGGCCAGTCGCCGGGTCGGCCGCGTCCCTCGTGCCCGTCTGACCGGTATCGCGCGCCGGCCGGGGCGGCCAGGACCGGGAGCTGACTCAGACTCCAGGAGCGCACCGGACACACCGCGGGACATTGATCAGACAGGACGGACAAATGTCCGACACCTGCGTGTTGGTCGGAAGAGACAGTTGGTGACGTATTTATGGGTCGTTCTTGAGAAAGTCGTACGGAATGTTTGCTTCAATATGGTACATTCCGAGCCGTTGGCGCAACATTGGCGATAGCTTTGTATGAATGGGAATGAGTCAACATAACCAGCCAAAACAAATAACCTGATAAAACATCCTTATGCTGTTTTTCCATGTCTTTTCTGATTTTTTTTTTTTTTTGCTTGAACATCTAAATGCAAACGCGACAGAATTATGAAATACGGTCAAACCACTGCAGCTTGTAAGATTTGACGAGAACAACCCGGACTGAGATATGGCCAAAGGGTGTGCAATGTCCATTAGCCTCCATATTCAAATTCAGTCCATATCCAGACCCGAATCAGGGCAGGTTCGGCCCCCATCTGCTGATGACGAAACTCGCACAGCACAAAGGCCATGACGAGGGCACTCAGTAGCCGAAATCGCCGGGCGGCACACGGTGATGTTTGATCTCCGGCAATCAGGAAAGGTCGTCCGGTCGAAATTTGCACAGTATATCACGGCCCGCCCATCAGTTGTAGAGGTCAGATTGGCGCCAAATGCGCCTCATAGCGACCAGATTTATTTCTACCATACCGTTTCCTCCATCAAAGGTCATAAGCTGATCGTTTAAGTCATTTTCCGGGTCGGTTAAAAATGAAAATAAAATAGCACGATTCTCGAAAATGTGTTACATAATTCCGAAACAAAGTAGAAATGTGTAGCCTCAATTTGATATCTCACGACAACAAAACCGATGTGTCCAGAAAACAAACATAAAACGCTTTTAAGTGATCTATCATGAAACATTATGGCTTATTATTGTTGTTGTTATTGAACTGCTGTGGATATAGCTCTTTCAATTAAACCACCAAACCACTTAGGCCAATCATTTATCTTATAACTAATGTGAAGACCTAAAATGATTTATCAACCAAGCGCAGGCAGTGGTTAAAAGACCATTAAATTTTCAACATTGAAATGCAACTACCGTTGAAATACCAGAACAGCCACCCCATAACAGCCATCGGTATATAAACCTTTAGCAGGTACGAGCCGAGCGCGTGCGCGAGTCTGTGTGTGCGTGTGCCCGGGAGCACTCACCATTGTTCCTGCACTCGCAGTCGGCCTGGTGTTTGTGGACGGCCTTCTGCGGCCCCCGCACCTGACACCCGTGCGCCGCGTACCGACAGGCGATAAAGTTGGCCTGACACCTGCAGACACAGACAGACACGTACATATGTAGTTTATCGAACAGACACACGACTTGTCCGACGAGTACACATCGTTAGATGAGCCCACACAGCAACTAGTAAACATAGTTGGACGAATGTCCACATATTGGACGAGCATGTGTGTCGATAGACGAACTAACAAACAATACAGTCAAGCACACAAATAACTCATTGGCCATTGCCAACAGGACAACATGTGATCCAAAACATCGTTGCGGGATAGCAGGATAATGCTTTTATTGAGTGCTCTGAGCTACCCGACAAAAACCTCGCACAGCCATGATAAAACACACAATGGGCGATGCCTTACGAGTAAATCAATACCATTCGGAACCTTGCTAGTTTAGAGAACCACAACGCTGGGGCTGATCAGCTTCTGGCATAACAAGCGGATAAAACACATCTCATTAGTTGGAATAATTCCAGTGATCCATTTTCTATGCTCTTTTCCCCTCTGTCCATAGCTACGACGTCAATCTGACAGTCCCGTTCCATCTCCAACCAGATAGGAGGCGGCACTCCTTTTGTGGAGACGAAATACCACGAAATACGAAAACAATGTCTGTATCAGAGCGAATCTCCAGAACGGAATCACGACGGCGAGGCTATGGGAGATACTCGCGTGAATTGAGTGAGTCCCCGCATATTACCTCGACTAATGCAAGTTATTTGGAAGTGACGTATGAAACCGTATCCCATTCTCCCGCAGACTTAACAGTTTTTTCAACATAATGCCCACTGCACGCCGTTTCACCAATATTAAGTCATAACTCTTCAAAAAAGGGACGTGTGGCCCGTCAAAACATGCAACAACTGGGACAAATGTTCCATGTCAACAGGCAATAGGTCAACAGGATCATTTTAGACTGGTATTTGATAACGTCATGCCCGTGGTTAATTTTGACACCTTGGACAGCCAGTTGTACCGTTTTTGTCATGACCGGTTCAGTCGGACCGGCTATGGCGCTGATCATCTGAGTTGTAGCTGTTTCCCTACATGACGTTAGCGTTAAAAAATTACTGATCAACACTGCTGCTCCTTATGACCCCAATACCAATGCACCGGATACAAACCCAAACAAGTAATACCCCTGTTGGCCCTCCTGACCGTCACGAAACGTCCCAAAAGAGGCATTGGAACAGTGGTTCCCCATTGCAGCTACCACTAGCCATAAAACAACACAGGCAGAGCCCCGTCCCCGGCAGCGGTTCCGCCCCGAGCGACAGATACTGACCGGTTCCTGAGATGGTCCTCCAGATCACCCCGGGGGTGGGCCGTCTCCTTACAGACGTCAGCGTTAGGGCACTTGATGAGCAGTTTCTCCAGAATTCTGTGGAGTGGGACCAGGCGTGTCAAAAGAGCAACAGCATACAGTGTGAAAAGCGTACTCATGCAACTAAACGTACTACTCGGTAATTGGTATTCTTTCTTGAAAGTTCACAGCACAGTTTTCTCTAACACATGAAAATTGCGATTAGCAAAACACAACAAGCGCTGGGTTAGACATTTTGATTCGCCACACTTTGCAGACTACAAAAAGATAATCAAACACATATTTCTGGCAAGGCGACAAGGATGTCTCAATCAGGTCCAGTATGTAAGTATGGTTTTGGAAAATAACTCATGGGCGGCTATCGATACATGTCAATGGATGTCGCCGGACACTTCGTCTCTTATTGACATGTAGATTACTGGGGCTGCCGAAAACATATAGCGGCAGGATGAATACTATTTCAGGACCCGGATCAGCTGCCAATGAAAACTGCTAAAAGTCGGAGCAGGACGGCTGTCAGGCATTGGTGGAGCTAAGGGAAACTGGCAGGTCCAGTAGTGTCAATGATATGATATCAAAGCCCTGCAATTCTTTTACAGGGGGTAATATTCTTCTTGACTCTGGCCCCATGATCGCCATGTCTCAATGCAGAAGATTGGGTATATCGATGACAAAGCGCGAACAACTGAAAAACCTGGAGGCCACTTTGGCAGAAAGCTCAAGAAACACTATGCTTGGATGCATGATGATAGATCTAACGGAGCCGGAACGATGCTACGGATACAGCATGCACAAGCGTGATGAAATATCATGGAATTGAGATAACAGTGAAGAGATAAGCAGAGCGTATTCAGAACTTATGCATGCATCTCGTGGCTCCAAAGCAGATAATAAATAAAAACCACACCTTCCTGCTGCAACAAATCAATTATGAATGAACAACGAGGCAAAACTTCAGAGATCTCACGCTACAGCCATTTGACTCTTAGGTTACATCAAATAACAGTAGGTTACGATGAATTCACGAAAAGCCGGACACCCGGAGATGGCCCGGAGCTCGATAAAAGGTCTGAAGTGCTCATCTCGCCAAAGCTCGCTGAATCTCTAAGCGCGGAGCATTTGGACGGGATCGGCCCCGAGTGGTCACCAGATGTCATTTCAGGCGATGGAGGCTGAAACCGCGGTCAGAAGAGCACCCCATTCACAGCGCCGCAAAGCGCCAACTGCTGCCTTTTGAAGCCGGATTGCTCTTTGGTTGGGGACTTTTGAGTTAACAGCAGCCATCAAATCCCGCTGGCGGCTGGGTGTTGACGGACGGAGAACACCCGCTGAAAAGTTGTGTGCCAGATACGACGTACGATGACGACCAGTCAGTTGGCGATGAGATCTAACATATGTGATCTTTGATGTATCGTCTAAAACATCATAAAGAATGACGAGAACACGACAAAAAGTAACCAGGCACCGACAGCTGAAACACAAATTGTATGCAGAAGTGGGAAAAGTGCACAGGCTAGCGGACGAGGTGCGTGTAACTCACTTTTGCAGTTATACTCACTTTTGCAGGACCAGCGGCGAGTTTCGGCAGGCCTGTGTTGTGAGCGCCGCCCGGCAGATGGGACAGTTCTGGTGTGAGTTCAGGTACGGCACCAGGCACGCGCCGCAGAACGTGTGGCCACACGGCGTGTCCAGAGATCTGGCGACAGAACAGAGAGGAATGTTAGGACTCAGCACTAGCAGAGGCGAGTCAAGAAAGTGTGGCAGCACGGTGTGTTCTAGGGGCTGACAACGGAATTGGAAAGAACGTCAGGGCGCAGCAGACGAGAGTCAAGAATGTATGGCCACATCACATGTCTAGGGACCTGACAGCGAAACACGAATGGAACGTCAGAACGCGGCAGGTATGTGGGAGTCACGGCTGCTCGCGAGGCAGGGTAGTCTGTAGCAGTGACGGGTGACAGGAGCTCAGGCGTTCTTGCAACAAAACTGGCAATAAATCAGACCACAACACGTGTATTATCAATGATCAAAGGGCCGGCCGCGCTCCCACAGAAAAAAGTGAGTCATGGCGCATCGAGTGGGGCGGGGGCCGATTAAGACTTCCTGCGAGTCGCTTTCGTAACGTCATCTAACCATTCTTGTGCCAATAAACACGCAGCGCGCTACCACCGACCCCCCGTTCCGTGCACATAAACATTAAACAGGCGCCGGTTCACTCGTGCGAGCGACATGTCGGATGCTGTTAGATAAAGCCGACAGCGCTGATATCAGTGTTGTTATAAGTAGCGACAAGAAGAACTAAACACGACTGAAGCCAATCGGTGGGTGATCGGGCTCAGTCGCGCACGCTGCTACTGGCTCGGCGTTCTAATCCTCTGATCTACAGAAGGATGGGTGGACCACCCATAACGCATCACTACCTACACACTCCCACTTACACGCATGCCGGAACACGGTCGATATTTCCAGCAGTTCCCACCCTAAAATCACGCTACTTCAAGCTGCGGACCAATTTTGGTGTGGATTAGGCCCAGGCGCGTTGGCGACCGGCAGTGTCGTGCCCGTGCACCCGGTGCTTTTCGGCACGATACCGACGGAGGCCAGTGACCCCAAACCGCAGCAGGCAGGGGCGCGCCGCACGCAACGGTGTACAGGCGACGGATAAAAAATACAACGATAAAAACAAAACGATTCGAAACGCATTAGCAGGCAACTCATGAAAAACAAGCATGAAAGTTATGAACAATGAACGGAAAATTGGACCCTACCGTTACAACAGATCACAGAAAATAAAGCAATAACATTATCCTTCACCAAATAAGTCAAGGTCGGTACAAAGTCTGTCGTTACTATTTTCGCTGATCGTGACCCTTTACTGTAATACATCAACGTTATTCACATAGACATCTATTTCTTTTCTCTTATTAATGCGGCAAAAATTCCATTCATATTGGAAACTTCAACGATCAATGAACGATGACAATACATTCATTCTCAAGGCTCAACCTCCGAAAAACAATAGAAAATAAGTGGAGTTTGGTGCGGTGCGGAAAGTTCAAAAGATGGGAAAGATACGGAGAAGGAATAAATAAAGAAGCTCACACAAATGTAGTCATGGTGAGATGATGATCAGATAGATAAGAAAGAGACATGACTAGAAAAAAAGAAAAAGGAGAGCGAGAGAGAGAAAGAGAGAGAGAGAGAGAGAGAGAGAGAGAGAGAGAGAGAGAGAGAGAGAGAGAGAGAGAGAGAGAGAGAGAGAGAGAGAGAGAGAGAGAGACGGGACGGGACGGGACGGGACGGGACGGGACGGGACGGGACGGGACGGGACGGGACGGGACGGGACGGGACGGGACGGGACGGGACGGGACGGGACGGGACGGGACGGGACGAGACGAGACGAGACGAGACGAGACGAGACGAGACGAGACGAGACGAGACGAGACGAGACGAGACGAGACGAGACGAGACGAGACGAGACGAGACGAGACGAGACGAGACGAGACGAGACGAGACGAGACGAGACGAGACGAGACGAGACGAGACGAGACGAGACGAGACGAGACGAGACGAGACGAGACGAGACGAGACGAGACGAGACGAGACGAGACGAGACGAGACGAGACGAGACGAGACGAGACGAGACGAGACGAGACGAGACGAGACGAGACGAGACGAGACGAGACGAGACGAGACGAGACGAGACGAGACGAGACGAGACGAGACGAGACGAGACGAGACGAGACGAGACGAGACGAGACGAGACGAGACGAGACGAGACGAGACGAGACGAGACGAGACGAGACGAGACGAGACGAGACGAGACGAGACGAGACGAGACGAGACGAGACGAGACGAGACGAGACGAGACGAGACGAGACGAGACGAGACGAGACGAGACGAGACGAGACGAGACGAGACGAGACGAGACGAGACGAGACGAGACGAGACGAGACGAGAGAGAGAGAGAGAGAGAGAGAGAGAGAGAGAGAGAGAGAGAGAGAGAGAGAGAGAGAGAGAGAGAGAGAGAGAGAGAGAGAGAGAGAGAGAGAGAGAGAGACGCCGGTGAAATGACAAATTTAAGTACGTGTAACACCGTGTTGGAGTGGAGGAGAGGGAGGGAATTGACAGCTAAGGTGATCAGTCCCAAGATTCCCCGTCACCATACTCCACTCACCCGACGAGCGGCTGCAGGCAGATGTGGCACGTCAGGTCCTCGTCCACCTCGTCCACGTAGTCGTACACGTGCGGCTCGTGGCGCGCGTGGTGCTGGCCGCACGTGCGGCACGGCCGGCCCCAGCTGCGGCTCAGCGTATCCATGGCGCGCCCCCCTCCCGCGCTCTCTCCACACTCACTCCCGCTCTCTCCCTCTCAGCCTCGCTCACTCAGAAACATTCGCTCGACACCTGCCGGGAAAGAAAATAAACGGCGCTAATGACTACCAACATACCGAGTACAGAGTACATAGCAAATACACATGATTTATTTGTTCTTAGGAGTGTTTTTCCGATGATATTTTAGTGGATGTATAAAGGGCTTCTTTTAATGATAGCTATTAGCATACGTATTCTTTCATATCTAAAATAGACGTTTTTCAGTCCTAATTTGCATTTTCCATTTGCATTCCCAAGTTCCCAATTTGCAGGTTCAATAGTCTCTCCTCAGTAGGTATTTCGTATGGGAGATTCGAGAAAAGCTGGCAGCCGCTCGCTGTCAACTAGCTGTCATATGGTAGGATAGGCGATAACATGTTTACACCCCGTAAATAGTGAATACTGTCAGCAAGTGTGTCATTTTAATTGCAAAACAAATCAAAAAAGTGTCTTCACTGATGCAGGCCCTCGAGGAACACATTTCTGCACAGAGCAGAGTATTGATACAGAGCGAAGCGTCATCTCTCCTCTACGATCTTTGACATTTGTTTCTGACACTGCGCAGGTGAACGAAGTCAATCTTCTTCAAAGCTGGGCTCATTTGGTTCAGCAATATCTTCGTGTAACTCCCACTGGTCCCACGCTGCAAAAAGTCCATCCTCGGTGTCCGCAATCGGTTCGTTCGAACGCCTCGTCTCCGTCTGCCACCTAATTTGACTGGACCGGTCTCCTCGGTGTCGCAGTGGCCGCTACTTATTAATACCGAGGCCGTTCCAGGCCGGCTGGCACCGGGCTGCGGTCGGCCAGGCCTGACGGCGCTGACGAACCCCGGCGACCGGCGAACGGCCGGTGGGCCCGGCCCCCGACCCCCGGCCGCACTGCAGCGGCGCACCTGGACCGGCGCCGCGCCGCCAGCACCGCTCGATGTGTTTATATTCGCCGGTGATGATGCAGCCGCGCCAAATTCACCTGTCCGTCAGCCCCGGACGGTCGAATAAACACATACAGACATACAGGCGGGCGCGGCAGCCACCAGCTGCCTCCGGTTCGACTCAGAGCCGAGCCCCTCAGCGCGCACAAAGGCAGACGCGAGCAAGGCCGCAGCGCGCTCCGAGCTGCCCAGCTTCCGCCGGCGGACAAAGCGAGCTTCCCCGCTCTGACCGGAGGGATAACCAAGCTGTTCTAGGTACGGGCGGAGGGTAAACCAAGATGTCTGAGCTCCCGAACAGCGTGTGGCGCAGTCCGAGATGAGGCAGCTCTCTGAGGATCCGGCGCGAGGCACCGGTCCGTCGCCCGCCCACGATATTTGTGGAGGAGCCGGCCAGATGCCGATGGAGTGATGCAAGCTGTTGGTGCTGGCTTCGACGGGTGGCGAGGGCGACGACGGTGGCGGCGATGGCGGCCTCCCAAGCCCGCCGGACGGGCACGCCGACCATGGGACGGTGCCGTACCATAGCTCTCAGCGACCTGACGGACAGCTAACGACGAGAAGAAGGTAGGGACCTGTGTTCGCTCTATTCCGGAACCCACGCACGCAACACTTCATCAGAAACTTATTGGAGCGCACAATTCACTAATGACGCTCGGGCCACCTGACCGACACCTGAAAGCGGCGACGGGCCATCATTTGAAGAGTTGGAAAGGCAAATTGAATCATGTGAACCTTATATAAGAATAGCTAAGAAATAATATTTCAAAAGCGAAGAGCGAAACGTTCTCTTGGAGACATACCTACAAATGAAATTTATTAAAACAGATCACGTTTCTAAAGGTTTATCGGAAGATCAATTTGGATCGTGTGAAAGCTGTCTTCCATATTTCTGGGCGAGAATCATGTCTTCTTCACATTCATGAAAGTTACCTATGTCATGTTTGTCGGAATGGGCGCATCCCATTGTTTCTGACGCTGACAACTTGACGCACTGCCGGTATTTCCCCGATAAACATCATTAGAGCAACGCAAGCAGCGATCAATACCACGCCAGATCTGCCGACAAATAACGTCAACATGTCTCCACCTGCACCGCATCGGAGCGAGAGGGAGAGTCCCGGCTCCCCGGCCCACTGCACTGATTTGGTCCTATGACCGTCGCCCAGGTGATTGCTACGCCGCTGTTGTCAGACTGTATGTGCGCTGAATTATGCGACGCTAATGAAAAACTCGAGAAAGGTGAGCGATAAGTGTCAGGAGCAGGAACAGCGGCACCAGACTCAGTAGCCGGCGCTTCAGCAGCTACCTCAGCAGCCAGCGCACGACAGCCTCCGCAACGGCAGACGCAGTGGCAGCATGCTCTGAACTCCGACCACATAGGCACTGTGAATGGGCTTGACAGCCCCACGGACAGCAAGAGCGACAGCAGCACGATGGATCTGACGTTCGACGTGGCCCCGGGAGTTGCATCATTAGTTAATGAAGTTGACTGCAACGTGGGAGAATCAAACCGATGATGTGTCCAGGCACAATATCATGGGTTAGACACGACATGTGGACAAGTGATGCTCGCAGCCAGGTCTTATGTTTGAAAGTTAGTTCCAAAGAAGTTTGGCGGTCAGCGGCGAGCAATTAACTAATGTATTCTAATGAAGTGCCTTTGATATGCATTTCGAAATCGAAGCAATGAGATTAGTGGGCTGCCCCAGGGCATATAAACCGTTTGCCCGAAGGTAATAAATGGGGACACGTGTTACCCCACATTCGAGTTTGCACCATAACTTACGGACCACCCTGCAGCTTACACACATATCTCAGGAGCGCGATTACGCCAAAGCGCCGAAGTTCTACTTCATTAGGGGCGGTTCGAAACAAACAACTGCCAGATTCCGGTCGGCTCTCAAGGAAGCTAATGGAGTTCTGCAAGTAGAAGTTCCTCGTCACAAATGTGGGCGATACGTTCACCTTTTGTCGGCCCTTCTTCAGGAAGTTCAGCTTGTTTGAAACGTTAAATGCCCGGGGCCCAAATTGAACATAAATAAACCTACCATTATTCATCTTTGTCATGATACCGTACAAATAATGCTTTAGGCCCTGGAAACTACTTTCGTAGGTATATTGTATCACCCAATAATATGCATTCAAATAGCAGGTAGCTTTATTTTCATTTCATTTGGAGCTATTCAACTTGGAATATCACTCTGCAGATCCTATCATTAGACTCTCATGAATCCTTGTTTGTTTATTTATTAGAGCTCCAGAGCACTCCAAGTTCAGGATCATTTTGCGCTTACCTACCAGACCCAAGTGCTTACCTATGTTCAAGTCTGTCAGAAAAAAAATAGCGTACTTATCTGATCGTTTCGGCCGAGAATAAAGAACGGTGTCCGAGATGTTTCACAATTCATATCCACTTCCAGATGACTCAACAATCGGACAGACTCGCCACCTCAAGTTGTTGTTTCTCGAAAACGGTTAGTCAACCCAGCGCTATATCTGTACTCCGTAGACCAGTAAAAGCCAATACGATTCAAAGTATTACAACCCAAATCACCCTACCCTTGCAACAAGAGGATAACTACTATTAGCACATTATTTACATAATATTATGTTACTAATACAGAATACTGTACCTAATCTGTGAGAAAGGCTGGCTTGCCACTACCGAGAATGGCAAATCAGCCAGCGCGCAATTTCTGTCCAGAAGCTCATATTCAGCGTCCCATCTCATCAGTTCCCGGCCTCCCTAGATGCTGCTAGTCTCATGTTCGCCGCGGAAACGGACCCAGACTTTTTAAATAGCCGGACCATACAGTTTCAAGCAGCTGGTGTTATATACAAGACACCATACATAGGGTTACATGTTCTAGAACATGCTCATATGCGAGACAATGAGAATATTCTTGCAAGAATTAGCTTTCATCAAAGTTATAGAATAAAGCAAAAGTGTATAAAACACCAGACCACAAGCTTTGAGCCATGTGTAGCGCCGTGATGAGACGCTCGCGACCCTGCATGGACCATCTGCTCGACGAGGTGTCGAGATACAGCTTAAAGCAAAGATGAAGGACGGTATGATGAAGCTCCTCCCTCAGCCGTCGGGGGTCAAAGTTTGCCAGCGGTTAAGTCCAGTCGTGGCAGCAGCTTAACACTTTATTAGAGCCAGCCGCGGCGGTGGGAGCGGTCTCCGAGGCCAGGTTGGCTGGCGGCGGCACCCCATGCCCCTGGTCACCCCTGTCCAGCTACCTTCGCTCCCTTTACCTGGCCTCCGCAGTGGGCTGTCGACAAAAAATTGATTTCGTGGCCGGGCAGTCGGATGCGCCAAATAAAACATCTGAGTGTGACGGACAGCCGGCGGCGGCGGCCGGGCCCCAAAATACAGCCGGCTCGGGTCGCTTCGTCACGGCGGTCAATCGGCCGCCCGGCGCGGCAGCGACCGACGAACGGGCGATACTGAACGGTAGGAGCAGCGTAAAAAACAATAGCTGAGCTTATCAAAGGGAGTGTGAACTATGCCATATTAAACAAAAGTCATTCACGGTTTAAAGATCAAAGCCTTGGCAACCTCCAAAATGCTTTATTGCGTTATTTGCCCATTTCACTCCCTAGGGGCGTTCCACGACAAATCGACAAATAAAAAATTAAATTTGCACCCTCATATTTTATTCTTCGCTGAAAACTGGTGTAAGGGGTTGTAATGGGCGGGGAAGCCAGCTGTGGCAAGGATTTTTTTCTTCGAACAACGGTTTCCGAGATATAGCCTCGGGCAATTCCTGGAGTTCGCGCTGCATCCCTATGTTTGGCGGCCTATAACTCAGAAACTATTGGTTTTTTACGATAAAAACTTTTTATGGTTCAACACACAATCAACCAACAAACATTTTGGCTATCTCGGATTTTCAATTTTTGAAAATTTTGATCACGTGACCTTTTGTCCTGTTTTTCGAAGAGTGACCTTGATATTTTCCCCACTGAAAGTTGCAATTTTGTCTGATGACGATTAAAGCCTTATCAATTGTCATTCATATGCGATAATAAAAAAAGTGGTTATCGCCCTGCGTTGACCTCAGGTCAAGTCATTTTTATGACCTGTCCATTATTACGAGCGGGAGCGACAGCGAGATCTCGAGAATAAAGCAAGATAGCGACAAGCGGTAAACGGTAAAGGGTACACACGGATAAGGTCTATAATTTTTACTGAGATCATTTTCAGGTCAGGTCAAAGATGACGTCACAGGAGCTAAAAGGAAGTCAAAATAGCGGCACTATACATATATATGAAGTTTTTCTCGAATAACTTTCAAGGCATCCCAGCTAGGAACAAACTAATAGCACCATCGTGATCCTCTCGTCGATCCGCGTCGAAATATATCTATGTTGACCTCGAAAGGTCGAAAGCTCAAAAGTTGACCTTAGATCACGTGACCTAAGGTCAACTTTTGACCTTTCGACCTTTCGAGGTCAACATACATATGTTTCGATGCGGATCGACGAGAGGATCACGATGGTACTATTAGTTTGTTCCTAGCTGGGATGCCTTGAAAGTTATTCGAGAAAAACTTCATATATATGTATAGTGCCGCTATTTTGACTTCCTTTTAGCTCCTGTGACGTCATCTTTGACCTGACCTGAAAATGATCTCAGTAAAAATTATAGACCTTGTCCGTGTGTACCCTTTACCGTTTACCGCTTGTCGCTATCTTGCTTTATTCTCGAGATCTCGCTGTCGCTCCCGCTCGTAATAATGGACAGGTCATAAAAATGACCTGACCTGAGGTCAACGCAGGGCGATAACCACTTTTTTTATTATCGCATATGAATGACAATTGATAAGGCTTTAATCGTCATCAGACAAAATTGCAACTTTCAGTGGGGAAAATATCAAGGTCACTCTTCGAAAAATAGGCCAAAAGGTCACGTGATCAAAATTTTCAAAAATTGAAAATCCGAGATAGCCAAAATGTTTGTTGGTTGATTGTGTGTTGAACCATATAAAGTTTTTATCGTAAAAAAACAATAGTTTCTGAGTTATAGGCCGCCAAACATAGGGCTGCAGCGCGAACTCCAGGAAATGCCCGAGGCTATATCTCGGAAACCGTTGTTCGAAGAAAAAAATCCTTGCCTCAGCTGGCTTCCCCGCCCATCACAACCCATTAGACCAATTTTAAGCAAAAAATAAAATATGAGGGTGCAGGGCACTTGTCGATTTGTCGTGGAACGCCCCCCTAGTGAACAGAGATGAAAAGAACGCATAAGGGCTGTAGGCCGAGACAAACCTGCCGTGATTTGAATTTAATTACATTCCCGACTTCAAAGAACGACACTGTCCAAATCAATTAACAGGAAAGCGGAAACCTCAGATATGGGACTCGCGAGTCCGCTGAACCCCTGGACCTGAAGGCTGATTATTATGACGCAAAGCTATGTAAACCAAGGCTAGCAAGGCTAGCTATGACGGAAGAGAAATTTAGAGCCTTATAGGTAGTGAGACAATTATTTTGGTCCAAAATGCCCCAAACTGTTAGCCGCTAAAGTTGCCTTTTCTGCGAGAGCACGGTGTGAGTAAGGGCGACTAATTCAGGCTCCACCCAGACAGACGTGGTTTTAGTCCGCACCATGGTTGACCTCAGTTCACGGTCATGACCTATCCGAAAAAACTAACTAAGCATGATGAGATGAGCTCAGGTCACTTAACTATTTGGTTAAAACGGCACTCAAGGCTGTCATCAAACGCGAGGTGATTCTTATTTCCTGATTCTGATCTTCAGCTTACCTATGATCTAACGTATTGAACAACAATCCTAGGCATCTGTAATGCCCCGCGGTTATTATTCCAATCACATCAACTTAAAACCAAACTAGTGAGTTGAATGCCAAATGGCTTTTCTACTATTCCAGAAAAGGGCGGGGCAAACCAGTTTGTTAATTAACGCTAACGGACACGTCAGTCACATGAGAGCTATGCCCGCAAACCTGTTTACGGTCGAAGTGGACCAGGTGGACTAAATGTGGACCGTGCCAGCTTTCCGACGCTGAAAGTGATAATTGAGCGAGGGTCAGAGACAGTTAGGTAGACAGAAAGACAGATATATAGATAGACAGAAAAAAAGAGAGATAAAAAGAGAGAAAGAGAGAGAGAGAGAAAGAGAGAGAGAGAGAGAGCGAAATAGAGGGGGAGAGATGGGGAGAGAGAGAGGGGGGGGGAAGCGGCGAACCAGAATGCATTGCGAATAGCTGGGAGAATGTCCCACCTCATCAATACATACTCATGACTCGCGTTCGGATCATCCACTCGGAATGGCCGCCAGGCGCCGGCGGTCAGTAGATGATGTTGTAGACGGCGTAGAGGAAGATGAGGAAGGCCACCAGGATGCCGTAGGTGCCCAGCAGCGACACGCTCTCCATGTCTCTGTGGTGCAAGTCCTCGTTCTTCTTGTCGGCCATGGCGCTGAGAGTTCGGCGGGGCCCGGAGAGCCGGTGTCGCGGTGGGACCAGGAGCACAGCGCCGGCTGCCGAGCACACTGCACCGCCGGCGCGCCGCGTCGCGGACGACGCGGCGGGGCCGCCTGCGCCGGCGCCGGTGCGCGGCGGGATGTCCAATTGGCACCACCCGCCGGCCGATAGATATTTACACTGGGGGGCCGATCGGACGGACGGTGCTTGGGTCAAAAACAAACACATCGGCTCCGGACTGGGGCCGGTGGCAGCGCTCCAGACAGGTGGAGTATCGCAGCGGCTACCGGCAGCTGCGACTCGTCCCCAGACGCCGTCTCCGCCGTGCCCGGAAGGCCTGTCTGGTCGCGGAGATACCGCCGAGTGGACTCGAGCTGCCCCGCACCGTCTCCAACAGCATGACGCTGGTTATTATTGATGAATACATGCCGTTTTATTTGCAAGTACAAACTGACGCCGAGGAATGTGGAATATCAAACGACTGCGAATCGACATGTCACGCAAGGCATGCATAACAACGAAAGAAGCGTGTTTCTCTAAGATAGCGACGGAGGCAGACGGAGACGCCTCGACAGTTTGACACACATGATAGGACATTCGGTCGACACACCTCCTGATGGCGCTCATCACCATCAGAGGGCGCTGCCCGCCAACCGACCCCGTGCTGGTAGTGGGGGTGAGGGCGCCTATCTCACGTGACGCAATGCGACTGGACGGCGGCCACAGACCAGCTGCAGCGCCCGTCCGAGACGAACCATCGAGAGAGAAACCTCCGTCCACCCACCGCGGAGCGGCCGCATAGCAACGGGCGCGGCCCCCAACCCAGCGGAAATACTTCACGGCGATTAGATCGGACCACCGAGAGCTGGGATCTCATCGAAATGCCTGAGACTGAGAAAGCGAAAAATTGCCATCTCCCCTGCGTGCCATGCGATCGGAACAAGAAACATGCAAAGCTCGTTTTCTTAAGCTAATTAGGAACTGGAAGTAAGCTAAATTATCCATGTTGCGATGATCTCAGAGTGAAAACTCCCTCCTCTGGCAAATCTGATGAGATGTTCCCTCCCATCCTTCACCATGGCGAAGTTGGCCGATACATCCATTTGGGTGCGGGTTCACCCCTCGCCGGCCAAGGGGGTGCGGGGTCGCCCCCTCATACTTTTTTTGCGATTGCTCGGAACGCGCTGGCTATGAAAAGCTCGGAGCTGACACACCTGACCTTTGATTCAAGCCGCATCTTGTGACACCGACCGCATTCTCCGGTCAGGTCACTGACCTATGACGTCATAACTAAATCTTTGCACAGTCCTTTGGACTTTGGACGTCATATATGAAGTCAATAAAGTTATCAGGTTTTTTTTCGTCAACAGACAACAACTACCTATGAATTGAACTCAGAAAAGTCATCCATGGACTCACGAAGACCTGCTGAATCAAATAATATAATATGAACCATGACCTTCTCCGATCCATTTTGACCTTGATGGCTTTCCCCTTTCCTTGACCTGAGGTCAACATCCGAATCTGACTTCACCCAAACAAAGAGATAACTCGACGCAACTGACCATGACAAACACGATGATGTCAATATCCCATTTGTACGACCATTTTTGACAAATTTATTCGCCAAAAACCAACCACTACCTTGGAGCACTTCTCAGAGGTCACGGTTGGCTTGAAATCTTAAGAAAGGGTGCCTACCAGCCGTTTTCTCGCGAAAGCGCTCACTAAGATCCACGCACGTTCTTTGCGCGAGGCACCAGCTCAATTAGGGGCGAAGCGGCGAGGGGTTCCACGCGCCCCGCCCTCGACCGGGACGCATGCAGAAAACCATTAGGTATGTCTGGCGCAAGGCGTCCGGCGAGAGTCCGATAAGGGCATTGTCCCCATGCTTCACTGCGATAGTTGATAGATGGAGTATGGTGGACATCAAAGCAATCAGAGTGTGAGGGCTCTCCAGATGAAGTTCAAATAAAAATGACATTTTGGCACATCCCTAGAGGTCAGTGAGTGTGCAAGCAATACTTAACTATTCCTCCAGAGACTGGAAATCATTGACACTCTGTATGTTTGAAATCAAAATGCACATAAGCTAGCCTTAAATGTTTAAGTGCTATCACTTTCAATCCTAGCCCATTTTTGAGAGATGCAATAATATAATTTAATTAGGTACATCCTTCTTTGTGATCCATTCCAAGGAGCAAGGGAACACTAAATACGCCTTGGGCAATAACTCAAGTTGGAAATGATTGTTTCCTCAAGGTTAATAAAAAATAATAAATAAAATCAGCCTGCCAAGCTGGGATACAGAGCATAGATACAATGAGTATTTCCAATTTCAAGAGGCACTTCAATCAGATCACAAAGTGATTAAGGGCAGCAACCTAGAGGCCATGCTTCCCTGTACTGCCTTTTGCCTCTTCCCTGTACACTCGGGGGCAGATTAATGTTCCACCACTCCCTACCCATCGGGCTCCCATGGCTCAGCACTGGCTGCTGCCAGTGTTGCCTGCACTCAGCACTGCTCAGCACTGCCTGCCAGTGCCAGTGCTGCCAGTGCTGCCACTGGCAGCAGCCAGTGCTGAGCCATGGGAGCCCGATGGGTAGGGAGTGGTGGAACATCAATCTGCCCCTGAGTGTACCAGTACTGTAGAATGAGCAGGGTATGTGCAAGATTTTTATCTTGTTATCTATGCTTTATAGTATGCTTTATAGCGACACTAGCATTGCTGAACTTGTACAAGTGGATCATGATCTATGATCAGCTTAAACTCACCTGTTTAACTCACCTGTTGGGTTTCCTCAGCCTTGCTCTTAGGAGAGGAGTGAGAAGGAGGGAAACCCAAGTCGCTCAGAGACGCGCCAATTCCAAAGAATATAGTTGGACACAAGCTGGGGCCAGTGGGTGGGCCTTGAGTCAGGGAACTGGTGTTGTGCGTCTGCGTGTGAATTGTTGTGGAAACTCGACAAGTCGACAAACTCGACTCGTAGTTGGTGCTAATGCTTCACAAAAAAAGAAAGAAAGAGAGAGAAACGGCTGTGAAGTGTAATGCAAATGCTGTCTCACCCGCAAACCAAATGGGTGAATGACATGTGAAGGAAGGCCAGGCATGGTGGGAATGCAGAAATCAGGAGGCAAGTGGTGAATGACCGATTGGAGCTCCATGGCGCATCTGACCCTGTCCTTGCTTGTTAAGAACAGGGCGCATACCATGGAGGGGGGGGGGGGGAGGATCCAATGGTTTGACATTATACCGATCGTAATCTGTCATATAACGTAGCAACATTAGACTGAGTAATCGTAAAGTTTCGCGCCCAACACCTCTGCGAGTCCTCCTTTGAATTTCTGCAGGGAGGTTTCTTGCACTAGCCACCCCGGGAGGCTATTCCATTCTTTGACGACTCTGTGTGTGAAGTATCTGGACCTCGCGTCAACATGCGCGCGGATGACCTTGATCTTGTGTCTGTGACCACGTGTTCTTCCATTTACTTCCAGACTCCACAAATCCTCCGGCGAGATGTGACAGTGTCCATGAAATATTTTCCAGCACTTCAAAATATCAGCACGAAGAAGGCGACCCTGCACAGAAAAAAGATCAAGTGTTTTGAGCCTGTCACCATAGCACGTATCTTTGAGGCCCAGAGTGTTACGCGTCCATAGTCTCTGGATTTTCTCTAACTTCTTGAGATCTTGAACATATCCACTGTTCCACACAGATGAAGCGTACTCAATAATGGGCCGTATGTGTGTCTTCCAAATGAACATCATGAAGTCAGGTGATCGGCAGCGAGTAGATCTAAGAAAGTTATGGACAACGCCCCCAGCCTTTCTCGCAGCAAGGGCACAGTGCTCGTGGAATTTTAAACTGTCATCCACGCCGACGCCCAGATCAGTGTAGGCCGAAACGTGCGGTATTTCGGTGCCATTCAATGTGTATGAAATGATGGACTGGGCGTGATATCGGCGCCGAAAATGAAGCACAGCGCACTTTCGTAGGTTAAGCGCCAGCCCCCACGATGTGGCTGTGTCGTACAGTAGGTCGATGTCCCTCTGGAGATCTTCCGCTGTAGTCAGAGGGGCTTCTCTGTCCATCTTCATATACACTTTCAAATCATCCGCGAATATCTTGTAGCTACTCGTCAAAGTTGAAGCGATGTTATTTATGTACAATAGGAACAAAATCGGTCCTAGAACGGAGCCCTGTGGTACACCACTCAGCACCTCTGTTGGCTTGCTTGTCGTGTCTTTAACCAGCACTTGCATTTCTCTTCCCACCAAGAAATCATACAGCCAGTCAAGAAGCCTTCCCTGCACACCGATCTGTCTTAGCTTCTCGAGGAGGATGGCACGACAAACCACGTCGAATGCTTTCGAGAAATCGAACATGATGAGGTCGACAGGATGGCCACAGTCAAGCGCGCTAGTGATTTCATCATAAGTGAGAATCAGCTGGTCCTCCGTGGAGCGACCTGGACGGAAACCAAACTGTTCCTCAGAGAGAATCGCATTTTCGCAGAAGTAATCATAAAGTCCACGGAAGATCAGTCTCTCAAGACTCTTACAAGCAACTGACGTCAGTGCAACCGGCCTGTAGTTCTGAGGGTCGTGACGGGAACCTTTCTTAAAAATAGGCACAATCAGTGATGACTTCCAGGCTCGAGGAAGCTTCCCCTCTAGAAGGGACCGACGGAAGATAATATACAAGGGACTGGTGAGGGTATTGGCACAAGACCTCAACAGTCTTGGGTGCAGCCCGTCCAGTCCCATGGCTGAGTTTGGATCTAGACCGGTGAGCAGTGTGCGTACGTCAGAGGGGCCGAACTCGATCTCGCTAAGTGCGGCCTCGCAACGCTGATGAGGAGCCGGCTCCTCCGGCACCGCAGCAGTGTGAATGTCAGCAAAAGCACGAAGAAGACAGTCTGCCATTTCCCCCGGATCATCAGAAATGGTGTTTGGGTCCATGCGCAGTGGACCCACGGAGGAGCGGAATTGCTTTTTATGTCTCATGTAAGAGTGAAGAAGTTTCGGAAAACTCTTTCCATGTTCTTTAAACTCTTTCCATGTTCCAGTTCCCTGTAAAAATAGGTTCGACCAAGATCTATTTGAATGACAATGG